CTGCTTCCATGCCCCACTGCCCCCCACCTCCTTAGCTACTCTCCTCAGTTCTCACCCATCCAGCCCCACCAGGGCCCCCTGTCCCTGCAGCCCCACTGACAGCCAGCTCCCCTGCCCTGCTGAGCCCAGCACCCACAGATGCACTCCTCACCCCTTGCTCTAGCCCCTCCCACCCCATTCACCACCCCCCAGCCCCTCACCAGTGCTCTGGGCGGTTCCTTCCCCATCGGTGCCCGGCACCTCACTGTCTGGGACAGCTCCCAACTCCAGCTGGGAGTGGGGGCCCTCGTTCTTCAACTCTGGGTCAGGGGCTCTGGTGGGGGCTGGGCTCCAAGGCTCCCTGTTCTCTGGAAAGTGGGGGGGAAGTGGGGGAGAGAGGTCAGAAGTAGGATCCCCAAAGGAGAAGCCTGTGGCTGCCCAGACACTTGGGGCTTTGGTGGAGTGGTGCAGGACTGGGGCAAAGGGAAGGGAGGCTGTGGGTCCTCAGATGCCTGGACACCAGAGGGAAGTAGCCTGGGTTCCTCTGATGGGGCTTCTGACACCTGGGTTCTCCTGCAGGGATTATTGTGCTACTTGGGGGGGTGGAAGGGCAGCCACTGCCCAGATGCCTGGGTTCTGTCACAGAAAGGGACCCCACACCCTCACCCCAATTTGCCCATCACTCACCTGGCAGCAGGTCAGATCCCGGTGTGGCCATGTCGGGGCGTGGTGGGCTGCCAGTGGCACCCAGTCCCAGTGCTACAGAAGGAGAGAAAGAAGGATGGTCAGACAAGCAGAAACAGACCCCCACCCCACCCCACCAGCACTCACCGCTGTCCCACAGAGCTGTGAGGGAACCACCCCCAGGCCCCCCACAACCAATATCTCCCACTTCTCACCATGTCCACCACCTCCTGGGGGCAGGCTCAGCTGGGCAGGGGCCACATGGCACTGCCCTGGGGGGCACTGGGGCAAGTTCCGGGGGATCCTTCAGGGTCTGGGCTGCTCCTGGGGGAATAACTCTGAGAAGCAAAGGGAAGTGGGGTCCTTCCCATTTGGCAGGGAGTGCCCCCTTACCTACCGCTCCCCCCCGCTCCTGACATTCCCCAGCCCCTTCCCCTGCTTGGGGCTGCCACCTATGCCCCACCTCACTCCCTCCCAAATCCAATCCAAGATCTAAACCACCAGAACTCTGCCCATCCCTGATTGCCCCTCTAACTCCCTGCCCAGAACCCCTGCTTCTGCCCCCCACACACTCCATAACCAAGTCCTGGACCCATCCTGCCGCCCACCCTTCCTCCTTTCAGACCCCTCTGCTCTCCTCACACAAACCCTACAAGCTCCTAGCCCCCCAGC